TGAGGCGTCCAGTCCATGTGATATATTCCCTGGGAGACTCTGCATTCATGAGTCTGTGCTTATCTTTCATGCTCCTGAAGGAGAAATTTGACTCAATAGTACGGTATTTTCTCACATGTACACATATTCAAGTTGCATTTTTGAAGGAAAAAATTACTGCTCTCCGGTCATCAGGACTGGAACTTGAGAACACACAGACAGCGTTTCAAAAATTTTCAAACGCAGAAGACATCTTTGTGATATTCCCTTTTCACCACCAGTTTTGGTATTTAGAACACAAGCCCGAAAAAGAGAGCCCAGCCTTGATGATGAATAAAACTTTTAAAATTTAAATCTTGCAGTCTTTCATAGATAATAACAGTACTCTAACTCAGAACTCATCTCATTTTCTTTTAAAATAACTAATATATTTTCCTTGCTTTTTATTCTCTTACATTTTTTAATCCTTTTTCTCAGAATGAAAAACAAGTTCTCTGGTTTTAATCCTATGATTCAGGTCCATTACCTGGAGCTCAGAAGAGGATTAGAAATGACTTCTGTGTACCCAAGTAATGGTTGAAGACTTCTTCTCACTCATACTTTTGCAAAACACTCACTCTTTCCTCTAAATTTATATTTATTTTACAAATTATACATATTTTATTTTATTTTCAAATTTTATTTTCAAATTTGAAATTATTTCAAATTATACATATTTTATTTTATTTTCAAATTTTATTTTCAAATTTAAGGACAATAAAAAGAGAGTATTACTAATGCAAAAGTAAAATTTCTTTCTTAATGTGGGATGTGATGTCAGAACTGATTGTGCTCATCTGACTGTCATGGAGTCCCCTCCTTCCCGAGTCTCCTAGGGAGTCACCAGTGTGTACCAATGTACCATTGTCTCTCAGGAAGTGAGATAGAAAACCGCGATATGCAAGACACATAGAGCAGGGCATCAGAAAGAGCAGCCAGGAAATATCTGACAGGAACTAAATTGCAGCCACCACAGGACTTTGCCATTTTAAATTTTGGTATCTGGATCAAATAAGTCCTCTTTGTCTAAGAAAACTATCCTGGTAGCATAAACAGAGGTTGATACACCCTAACACCATGCACAAAATGCCTTCACTGCATTACCGTAACTCGAAACAGACCCATGCACATATGTGCAATTTATTTTTTACATTGTGTGAGACAGTAGTTGAAAAAAGTGTTTAATAAATAATGCTGTAACATCTGTTGCAATGACCATTAAAAAGATGAATAATAGCAAGTGTTGTAAAGTATGTTGAAGAAATGGAGCCCTAGTGCATAGTTGAGGGAATATAAATTGTTGCAGACAAAACTATATTTATATTGTCTGTAGGGAGCTTCCTCATGAAACTGTAGATGGAAATACTGTGTGATCCAGATGCCTTAGTTTCTTTCCTGCAGCTACGTCTACACATAAGCCTACAAAAATGGATAAATTCCTGAACTTACTCTGCCAAACATGAAACAAAAGGCAAGGAAAATCTAAGCAGAGCTATGACTAGTAATGATAAAGAGTCCAAATAAAAGGACACTATCTCAAAACAAAACCAGAATTTGATGAAATAAATACTGAATTTTATCAAATAAATAAAAATGAAAAAATTTCAACTCTTACCCATCTATTCCAAAACATTTTCTTCATTTCTGTTTAAGTATATTTTACTGATTCTTACAAGATTCATGTATGCATATTGATGTATTGTTTAGTAGATAAAGTTTTGCATTTACTTTTTTAAGCATATTTACAAATGAACTGAAAAATATTACTTCCACACTCATTTTGTGAAGCTATGGTCCACCTAATAAATGGAGGAAGAACAAAGGAATGCTAAAGGCCAATATCTCTCTGAATGTAGGTGCAAAATTCCTCAAAAAATTATTTTACAACACAAAAAATAAAAAATACTTAAATACAATTAAGCCTGACCCACTGCCAATTGTGGGATCCTCTCACGGAATAAAGAGGAGCAGTTTCTTCACCTTTCATTTTCACAAAGCTGTTATACTTTTGGATCTTACTTAATCTTTTGGTTTCTCACACTAGGGAGATTTTATGATGCTTATCTATGTGAGTCTGATTATTTATGAGTATGTTTTCAAGTTGCAAAATAAAATAATTGAAAAGCAAAAAGTTCTCTGTGGGTAAATAATTAATTTTAACATGCAAAGACAATACCTAGCAAATATAGAATCATATCAAATAATGCTAAATAGAAACATGGTTAAATTCAACATCTGTGTGTGATAAAATCTCTCAAAGAGATTTCTGTACAAGAATACACCCATTAACTATAATGAACCGAAAAACAGGTAACGCGGTAGGGAGTGGACAAAAGGGGAAACTTTGTTTCCCTAAAATGAAGAACAACAAAGGATGGCCAATCCCATGACTTCTATTAAATGTCCTCACTTGAAAAGGAAAAAATATAACTTAAAACCATACACACTGGGAAGAAAGAATTCAAGCTTTGTGTTTACACATGACATAAATATATCTGCAAATTTTAAAGGACCCACCACAAAGTATAAAATTCAAAACAAATTCAATAAAAATAAATAACACATAATCAAACCATGAAAATAAACATTTCTGGATGACTTTAGTGAAGTTTTTGAAGTAAATTATAAGAATTAAGCCACACACGGTGGTGCACTCCAGTAATGCCGGCACTCAAGAGGCTGAGGCAGGAGGATTGTTGCAGCTTGCCCAACAAAGTGAATTTTAGGCCACTCCGAACTTTGTAGTGAGGCCCTGCCTCAAAAAGACAAAAAAAAAAAGTATGAGAATTAAATTGTAACAGCTACATAAAACAAACTAGAAATGAGTGTAACCTAAAGATTGAAACACTGATGTATTGAAAGGTATAAAGCATTTTTGAAACAAATGAAAAATTACACAAAATTAAAAAGAGATGTCTGTCAATGAATGGAAAACATAATATTGTCATATGAGCACAACTATTGTAAAAGCCAGGTTTCTCTTGCTGAAACAAACAACAGTGATTAAACTGACTTTAAAAGCGGGCAGTTTTGTTGGCCTAGTATTCTATAGGTTTTGTTCTATTTTCACGTTGTGCTGTTTCCTTGAATCTGTGGAAACTCAGTACATGACAGTGGGAGTAGTGGTGGACAAGACATGGTCCCCTCATGCTGTCGGTCTGTAAAGCAAAGAGTGAGAAATACAGTGCTGGGTCCCAAATCTCCTCATTGACATCCCCCTCATAACCTAAAATCCTTCCAGTATTTAGTATATACGTCAGGAGGGGAGCAAGATGTGACCCATGGTTGTGTCTGCTGATTTTAAAGAGAGGAACCAGTTCCTCAGAGTCATTCGCTCTGGCCTAACACCCTCCTCTACAGCGTGAATAGCATTCTATTTGGGGTAGAGCAGTAAAATGGAAGCGTGGATGAATGGGATAAAAGAGCATTACCGCAGGATTTCAAGGGAAACCATTAAGGACAAAAGGCACCAGGTAAAGCTTAGGAAAGGGGCCAACAAGCATGTCATAGCTGCAGATCTCACACAGAGAGCTCCATCCTGACCACAGAGGACCTCTGCAGGTAAATAAGCTCTAGAGTTTACACTTGAGAAAAGGACTTGACCTTTCACCCCACTCACATATCCCATGTTCACCCTCAGGGACAAATGTCTTGCCAAATAGGGCACAAACACTGCTACTTGCTAAATGATGGGGAGGCCCCCTCACCCTTTGTGTAATTCCCCACGAGAAATCACTAGAGATTTCCTATGGTGACACAGCACATATCCTAGGTGGAGTCTGCACAAAAGGACAGGGACATATGTGCCTCACTGACTATGCCTGTTATGCTCTGAACTGGATATGGTAATGACATTGTAAATATTCTTTATGTTGTTCTGGAAGCAAACATCAGAGACTTGCATGAAAATTTGCTGAAACAAGGCCAGACCTGTTGACTTTGCTTTAGTTCAGAAAATGCATGAAACTTAATACTGAGTATCTCGACCTCAAAACACTTAAATGTGATGAGGGTTGTTGGTTTTGAAGGCAAGGATTCATTAAAAGGACCTCAGTTATCAATGTATGGAGAAGATCATCATCAGTGAAAGAGTTTTGCCCTAGTACACATTACTGTACATTTATGGCGGTGGTCTAATGTGGCAGAAGGCCAAAGCAGAAATGCCTATCACTTCCTGCTTCTTCTTCTGCCCTAAATGCAACTCCTTTTCCTGGTTACACACAAGGAGAATTCCAATTGATTCCTCACACATCATCAATATCTGCCCCATGGGCCACTTTAGTCAGATGTCTTATAACTCTCTGGCTCTCTGGATCTGGTTGAAGGAAACAGCCCAGCTGCCATGGGTCACATGCTCCTTTCCACATCCTCAACTCAATAAACCTGTTCATTTTGTACTTTTCCTTCTCTATTCTGCCAGAATATTCTAACAGTCAGGTTTTCGATGAATTCTGAAAATATAAAAATTGGAGTAGAAATAGGCAACCAATAAAGATCAGTGACTGTAGTTGAGAACTAACTTTCTAAATGAATGAAGCCACAAAACAAGAATGCTAGAAAGAATGCATATTGCCAGAAAATGGAAGTCTTAGGAAACAAAATCACAAGATCAAGGCTAAGATGAACTTGGAATATAAGCCAATTTTCACAAAACAAAAGAAAGAAATGTAAGTTATGAAGCAGGCATGGTGTCACCACCGTGTAATACTGACCCTCAGAAGGACAAAACAGGAAGACTGTCACACATTTGAGCCCAGCCTTTGCTACCTAAAGAATTGAAAGGCAATCTCATAGCCTGTACTGTAGAGTGACATTTTCTTTCAAAATCCAACCAGCAAAAAGAATGTAGAAACAATGTGATTAGCAATTGTTCAGGTTTATGTTTAGAGACATTGTTATCCTATGCATGATGCTCATAGTACACGATTGCTCAAAAAATGAAAACTACAATGTGGATACATTTTTTGATTTAGGAATAAACTCCAGAGAACAAGAGGAGAAGCTGAATCTGGAAAGATAATGAACACTCAATAGACACACATGGTCATGTGAGTGCAGGAAAACATATATTCTGTGAGATTACAAATTTCCCTGTGAGGTAGCACAGAACTCACATGCTTATTTCCATTTTTTTGCTCCTCTGCTCAGGTGGGACTCGGATCCCAGGATGTCTTAGAGTAGGAGGCAGGTGGACCTCTCCTGAAAACAAAAATGACAGAGAAGCAAGCTCTCAAGCAGCATGGATGGAACTCTAGGAGAGAGACCAGGGAGACACAGAGGGAGCTGTGCTGCAGATCTCACACAGAGATCTGACAATGAGCATCAGAGCCTGGGTGGGAAGAAAGTTGGACTGGGGTACAGTAAGGGAGAAGGGCCAGGAGGAATCCATTCCTGGGATCAGGAAGGTGTGGTCATCATTGCCCTGCTTCCACCACTCCTCTAAACTTAACTTCCCACTTATCACAGACTCAAACCCAGCTGGAATTCAGAACAGGAGGTTCCTCTCAGTAGCACAAAAGGAGCAGACATAGCGTGGCATCAATGTCCCCTTCATATAGAAAGTGTGTACCCTATATGCAAATATATGCTCTGAATTCAGATTCATAACCTGCTCACAGTTTGTGGAACTCACAGCTCCATCCCAAGACACGGTTGAGGTCTCCCAGGAGGGCAGAGGTGTGGATGAAAGATGAGACTTCTGGGTCTTCTCCTGTGCCTGGTGACAGCCCCTCATGGTGAGTGTCCTCAGTGTCAAACATGGGTCCATGGAAAGGTTAACAAACCACATGACTGACTGGTTTTTATTTTCCCCAGGTTTCCTGTGCCAGTTGCAGCTGCAGGAGTCAGGACCTGACCTGATGAAGCCCTCACAGACACTGACCCTCACCTGCTTAGTCTCTGGCTACTCCATCACCAGTGACAGTACTTGGAAATGGATCCGTCAGTCCCCAGGAAAGAGTCTGCAGTGGATGGGGCATATTTGGTATGATGGTGATACTAAGTATAACCCGACTCTCCAGAGTCGCATCTCCATCTCCAGAGACACAGGCAAGAACCAGTTCTCCCTGAAGCTGAATTCTGTCACCACAGAAGACACAGCCACCTATTACTGTGGAAGACGCACAGTGATTTCTTACAATGGTGAGCCCAAACATAAACCACCCTGCAGGGAAACTCAGGAGCAGCGGGGGGCGCGCTGTTCACACTGCTCTAGGGAACCAACTTCTCAACCCTGTAGTGGCAGCCTGGAGGATTTTTCAGTAATCAAGGCACAGAGATTCTAGGGATCTTCTATATCGCTGATCCTACAGTGCTGTTTTTTCATGGAATCAAGCTTTTTTTCGTTTCCCTGCCCATTTTATTATTGATTGCACAACATATTGTCAATGAAGTCTTCGTTCACAGCACAAGTGATCACAATGTCTCAAAAGGTTTTAGGTGTAGAAATGTTTAATACTTCTTTCTCTATTGGCTGGAAGTCTGCCATCCACCCTCAGATACATCTATGAGACCTCTCATCCTGAAGAACATTTTCCAATTCTGTTCATGCAGACTTTTACTCTGAATAGCTGGACATCACTGTGTGTTGAGCTGAGTGTTCACCTGTTATTGGAGCTGTTCATTTCCCCACCCTTGGTGATGTAGGGTGATACCTTGGAGAGCTGTGGTAGACTAGACTGTGCAGAGTCTCTCTCAGCATCTCATTGATAGAGAACATGACGCTGTCACACATCCTGCAGTCATGGAGCACTGCCTGAGCAGTGTTTATTAGGACCTACTGTCAGTAGCCAGAAACTTTTATAGAATGTCTTAAATATCGTGTCTATTTTTACCGAAAAGTGAATTTGCTGTATTTACATTACCCTCCATAAAATCTGGACATCTCAGCAAACTGCTATCAGTGTGTCTGGAAACACTGCTGTCCTCATCTGCCAGTTGACCTGAAAGAACAAGGTGCCCACAGTAGAGTCAAGACTATAGAGAGGACCAGTGCCTTCCCAAAGAGGAACCTGGGCTCCAGCTCTCTCTGTGCTCTTCTGAGTCCCTGAGGACAAGGCTGGCCAGCCCTGGACACTGACTCCTACCTGGTGTGAAAGTGTGAAATCATTGAGAGAGAGATTTGGGATCAATGGGATTTGGGTACCTGGGAAAATGTCACCAAGAGGATTGGTTCAGCTGCAAATCATGGTGGCTGTATCTCTATATATTCAGATATATAAGCAGTCATTTATTCATAGTTTTGAAATTTTGAACAAAATTAAATACTAGAGAGAAAATCTGAGCAAGGATTTTATATAACTATCCCTCCTGTTATCATCTGTCCATTGATCTATGTGTGTTAGTATCCATGATCACCATTCTATCCATCTATGCTCTGTCATATTTCTATTCACCCACCAACTCTATGCATGCACCTTTCATCTATGTATCTGTTATAAATTTATTAGTTATACACATTCTTCTTATCTGTTTTTCATTTTTTGCCTTGTAATTATCTGCCCTTCATATATGTATCACTCAAAATTTAAGTAGTTTATATCACTCTGCCCCTCCACATCGTAACTATTTCATCATCTTTCATCTACCTATCAGTGGTGCATATATTATCTGCCTTATTCTTAGGTGCTTTATTAATATAGGTGATACAAGAAGCTGTTGATGTGATGGTAAAGATTGATATAATTTAGAAAATTGTCTAAAGAGGCTGAAAATAGGGTATAACACAAAAACCACTTTCTCATGATTTACTTCCTCATCTCAATCAACTAACAGCTCTTTACTGGAGAAGACTACATTTTCTCAAAAAATTAAGCTTCCACATAACGCAAAACTATCCTGAGTATTTGCTAAAGCAGAGTAAAATTTGATGTTCACTGTGCAACCAGCAATTCTGCAGCACACTTAATGCAATGTGTGTGTTTAAAACTAGAATCAGTACAAATGAGTTTTAAAGTTGGAGCAGGTGTGCAAACTAGAAATCCTCCATAGACTGACAAAAATTTTCCATAAAAGCAATATGTATTCCTGCACGTGCTTCAGGAGTCTGGACCTGATCTAATGAAGCCCTCATAGACCCTACTCCTCACTGGATCCTGTCTGTTCACTCCCTCACTGTTGATATCTATGGGGCTGGATCCATCAGCACAGAGAGAAGGAGACTGAACAGAGGGGGTGGGATGGTGAGAGCTGACACACAGCTGATAACTCACCACTGATTCACGAAGTTAACATCACCTCAGAAAGAGGATTCTGGGGGAAAAAGAAAAAAGCGGTAGAGGAGCAGAGGGCCCTGGGGATCCAAAGAGAACCAGGAAGTGTCAAAAGAACAGGTGCAGAGAGGGAAGTGGGGAGTCGGCTTGCTGTCAGCCTCTGTAGTTTCCTTGTTGGCTTAGCATTATGTGAACTGAGCAGAGTCCATCATGCATCCACTCTAGGTCACATAGGAGGTTTCCACACTCCAAACTCCAAGCAAAGAATGTAAGGGTTTGTTGATGATCAGTTACAACACACACACACACACACACACACACACACACACACACACCAAATATATTACATATGTATTTATTAATTTTATCTGAAAATACATCGCAGGGAAATTATTACTTTTTATATTGCAAGGAACTATGATTTTAAGAAATTAAATTCTTAAATAACTCCAGTCATGATGATCATCACCATCAATTCATCTGCTAATTTCTGTGGGGAAATATTGTCTCATGGAGGGCTAAACATTTCAGTTTAGAAAAATGTACCATATAAGAAGACATTGGAAAGACAATTTGTAGAAAAGTATAAAAGAACTTATGGGTACCACCTCCTCGCTGGATCCTGTGTGTTCACTCCCTCACTGTTGCATGCAGGGGATGCATTACATCCCCTGACCATGAAAATGAATATAATAATATTAAACAAATTACATGGTGTTAAAATGTATGTCATTAAATCATAATTAAAATTAATATGTTTTCCATATACAACTATTCTGAGATAATAAAGCTGGAGATAGATCACAATTTAAAATACAGCACACTCTATAACATGATAGAATCATGGTAGTCTAATTATTATGAGTTGAAGGGCAGAAAAATCGTGTCATGTTCTCTCATTGAGGAAAGAGTTTGACAACATCACTGAGCATGACTTCTCTGTCTTGTAAGTTTTCAGGGCCAGTTCATCACCACGGGAAGATTTCTAGACCCAAATCCATAAGATCATATCACACATGAGCTCACATCTCATAGGTCTGTTGTGTTTCTGGTAATGTATCACATCTGCAAAACACAGAAAGTGACCAAAACATTTAATGTCATACATATATAACGGTGAGAAAACTAATAAATTTTTCAGAACACAAATACATAATGAAGAATCTTATCCCCATTAGTATAAGGAATATTGCAAAATATCTCTCAGATCATTCTCTTGTGCACTGTACCTTCCTTATCTGAGGCTTCCACAATACAGTTGTCTCTGTAGCAGGGGCCCCAGCCCAGCCTGGAGCCTGCAGATCTGCAGAAGAACCCAGCCCTGAATGCCAGGTGTACCTGCTGCAGAACCAGGACTGAAAAGAGATGGTGCCATGGAGTTTACAATGAGTTGGCTTTTCCTTCTTGCCATTTTAAAAGGTAATTCATGGAGGAAAAATAGCGATATTGAGTGTGTGAGTGAACATGAATGGGATAAACACTGGATCTCTGTGAAAGTTTCCTGATCAGGATGTCTCTGTATTTGCAGGGGTCCAGTGTAAGGAGCAGGTGTTGGGGTTCAGGGAAGGCTTGGTGCAGCCTTCAGGGTCCCTTAGACTCTCCTGTGAAGAGAGTCTGTCCCTTAGACTCTCCTGTGAAGACAGGCAGCCCCTGGATTGAGCTTCAGTGATTACTGGATTGTCTCATTCAAGCAACTACAAAGAAGGGGCTACAGTGGGTGTCAGTGATTGTAGCACATAGTACCCCAAATGTGTGAAGAGCCGATTTACCATCTCCAGAGGGGACACAAAGAACACATTGTATCTGCAAATGAACAGCCTGATATCCAGGGACACAGCCATATGTCACCATGCAAGAGACACAGTGAGGAATGTCAGTGTGACCCCAGAAACAAAGCGTCCTACAGGGCACCCAGGATTAGCAATCAACATTCGGGTCACAGACAGAGCACAGGGTCTACCTCAAGAGAAGATTTAGAAGAAGGTAAAAGGAGGTTTCTTGTCAGGATCCAGGATTTCTCTGTATAATACTTACCCTGGATACTCCAATTTCATGGGTCTGTCGTTACATTGGACGTCGCTCAGTTAGACATGGTCATTTGTCTACAATTTATTCTTCTTTATAGCTGAGTAATAGTTCATGATGTACAAATACTGTATTTTCTTCATACATTCATATGTTTATGATATACAGGCTGATTCCAAGATTTAACTATCATGAATCTTGCTGTATACAGATTGCTATGTATATAATGCTGTACTGTGATGCTTTTGCTTATAGCTCTTTGAGGAAGATGTGTAGAATGGGAATGGCTGGATCCTATGGAGTTTCTAACTTCAATTCTTTGAAGAACATCCACACTGATTTAAAATGTTTGAACTAGTTTCCATCCCTAGCAACAATGTAGCAGGGTTCATAGGAAGGAAAGTTAACATGAAGCAGACCATGAGGATGGTCACGAGCTGCCTGGTGACAGGATGCAGGAGGGAAACAGGGAGGGAAGGATTGCAGAGCAACCTCAGGACACACTGAAGATGACACCTGTGCTCCCTGCTTCGGATGTGTGTGGCTGTGCAAGTGTCCATGTGTGGAAATGCTTCTCAGGGACACACATTATGTGCGGGCAGCCCATGCCTTATGTCTGGTGAAGCTTTTACAGATAAACAAAAGGTGAGAACAGAAGAAGAGTGAGAGTGATAACAACAGTCAACTATGAGAGAGCTGCTAACAGGCACCAACACAACCACCACTCGTTTTCCCCTCAGCAGGCAGTGGAATGCAGCAAAGTCACACAAGTTCTCACCACAGGAAGAGGGGACATGAACTTCAGCAGCTGTGTCCCTCTCTGTCCATGACCCGCATCAGGAAGCTCTCTACAGCCTAGGAGAGCACAGAGCCAGACAATGGGTACAAACTTATGACATGAGATCT